TGGAAAAAAAGCAAACAAATGTTATTTACCAAGACGCTTCCGTCTGGCTCAGGGTGAGATGGAGGGGAGATAACAAGGCTATTTATAGCCCGTCTGAAGTGGCCAGTACCCTAATGCACCATAAATAATTCATTGAACATTCATTTGTTGTACATAGTATATTCAGTATATATATATATATATATATATATATATATATATATATATATATATATATATATATATATATATATATATATATATATATATATATATATATATATATATATATATATATATATATATATATATATAAATATAAATATGTTTGTGTAATAAATGTATGTAGTAAGAACATACCGGTAACCTTTTTCACTCAAATCCTAATGAAACACCACAATTAGAATACGGTGGTTGCTGTTGAACCACCTGTTGTATAAATAGTCGGAACACAGTCACACCACGGAGACGAGGGAACACTCCTACCACCGATCGTCCGTATAAATGAAAGAAAATACTTGCAGTGTGTTTAATATGTTACAATATATTATAAATAAATAAATAAACAAATAAATCGGTAAATTCATTTCAAGTAAATGGAAAAATTTTACTCGACACCGACATTAGTTCCAGTTACCGGTATATAGCAGACGCTTCAGTGACGTCACTAGTGTTTACACTACACCAGCGGGTAACATTTGATGACATTACTTGAAGTGAATTGGCCTTACAGTGAGTTCTGCTATAACGCGTGTTTTGACAACGCGAATTTGCTCGAACGCGATTTATGAATTGAGGAACGATATTTGTAAAACGCGAACTCGTTTGCTCTAACGCGATTCCACTCGAACGGTTGTTGTGGCTTCAGTTCACGTTCGACATCACATGTTCAATTGAGTTATGTGTTTTGTTTGTGAACAATTGCAGAAATAATGTATGTAATATTTATGTATACAGTATACCTATATATTATAAGTAAATTGTAAAATTTTACATAAAAGAGAAAATCAAATTACATAGCGTTTTACACCCGCGCTCTCTCTACATCACACACAGTGTTTACAGTTCACGTTCGACATCACATATTCAATTGATTTATGTGTTTTGTTTGTGAAGAATTGCAGAAATAATTTATGTAATATTTATGTATACAGTAAACCACTCACAAGGTCCTACAGTACCACTAATTATTTTATACTGAAACTTACGTTTGGTAAGCTGGATTAAAATGAAGATTACCGGTATATTAAAATAATAAAAATGTATTATAAACCAGTCTAACATACCGTAATAAACACAGCTGCTATTATCATCCCCCCCTCCCCCATTTGCCAGTGACAAGAAAGGGAAAGTGACCTTGACTGTGACCGCCTGTGGCTATTTTTAGCCATCCTTGTGTTCGGAGGTGGTCAGTAATGCATCTCTGTATATTTACTGATCATAATACTTATCTCTTATAAATAATTCATTTAAAATTTATTTTTTTGCAAAGAATATTCAGTAAATGACTGCATTAATTCTTGAAACTGCCGACAGTGGTAAATTTAGGATATAAATAATGAACAGAAGTCACGTCATGGATTCGGAGTTTGGTCCTTAACGATCACCATAAATGTAGCCTCCCTTTTTCGCGAAACACGTATATAAATTAAAGAAAATACTTGCAGTATATTTAATATATTACAGTATATTATATATAAATAAATAAACAAATAAATTCAAATTCCCTTATCATCCTGTGTCATATACAGAAATACTTGAGTCCCTGAGCGAGTACACAAAAAGAAAACGGACATCCTGGAGTGGATAGAGAACGGACATCTCTACTGGGGGACTCAAACGTTTCTCATGTTTTGTGGGCGCTCTAGCATAATATGAATAATATGTAAATTACAATTTATATATATATATATATATATATATATATATATATATATATATATATATATATATATATATATATATATATATATATATATATATATATATATATATATATATATATATATATATATATATATATATATATATATAACATATTATCAGTTTTGAACTGACCATCATAAATTTATTTGTCAGTGGCCCAAGGTTAAAAATGCTTTGAAAACCTTTGATCTTGATGTATGATAGTTATTTTGTGGGTCCCTTTTTTCTGACCTGACCTGTCTAGTCACGTCACCACCCTTCTCTTAAGCTCCTCTACGTGTGTGTTGGTGTGCGGATTAGTGGATGTCATCATTATGACCTGACCTTATATTTTTAGGTCACCCTGTATATTTAAGCCTCTCTCTGTCCATGTAACCCAGTTGCCTCTGAAGATGTCTTGAATAAAGACGAAAGCTAAGGTACTCCGTTGTCACCATTTTCCCGTGTGATTTTATCAAGATTTATCTTATCCACGTTTTCATTGTGGATTTACATGAAATATATATATATATATATATATATATATATATATATATATATATATATATATATATATATATATATATATATATATATATATATATATATATATATATATATATATATATATATATATATATATATATATATATATATATATATATATATATATATATGTATACTGTATGTAAATTGTAAAAATTTAAATAAAAGAGAAAAACTAAATACGTAGCGTTTAAAGTGTTAAAGTGTACTGTACAGTGTTGTGGCTTGGCTCAATGTTTACAGTTCACGTTCAACATCACTTGTTCAATTGATTTATGTGTTTTGTTTGTGAAGAAATACCTGTACAGTATATGTAAATTGTAAAATTTTAAATAAGAGAGAAAAACAAAATAAGTAGCGTTTAAAGTGTACTGTACATTGTGGCTTGGTGCGGGGTTATGCAGTGTTTACAGTTCACGTTCGATATCACATGTTCAATTGATTTATGTGTTTTGTTTGTGAAGAATTGCAGAAATAATTTATGTAATATTTATGTATACAGTATACCTGTACAGTATATGTAAAATGTAAACTTTTAAATAAGAGAAAAACAAAATACATAGCGTTTTAGACCCACGCGCTCTGTTTACTCCACACTTTGTTTGAAACACGTGTGAAGCTTTTAAGTGTCCTCAGTGAATTCTGATTACTGTTTCTCCAATTTTGTGACTATGGAAAAGAAGAATATCTCTGGGAAGCACTCTGGTGATTGCATTTCCGGTGGTGATCGTAAAAGAAAGGCTATAACACTTGAAGAAAAGCTTGATGTTTCATGACTCCTCAGCCTCAACATCACCCTTATCCCCCATCAAGTTATATTCATATTTTTTCAAGGTAAAGTGTAACATTTACTGTATGATTTCATTATTAGATATGAATGTAACATTTATTTAGACTGTGCTATCCTTTGTGTTAGGCTAACTACGAATTTTTTTTTCGATTTGGAGTAATCTGCACCTAACCCTATTTTCTCCATAAGCCCTGTTATTTCTATTACACGAATTTCTATAACACGATGTTTTACAAGAACACTACTATCGCGTTATAGCAGAACTACCTGTATTTTAAAAAACCAAGGATGGTTGGTAAAGGACTACTGAGTCAGTGGGTAAGTGTCACATTTGGGGTACTGGTCTTATACAGCAAATAGAGCTCAAAAGCTACTTTTTAAATGGAAATTTTGGGGGGCCGTCTTATGCACCCCGACGCCTTATAGGCCGAGATATACGGTAGTAGAGATTGATGGGTGTTGTAATGAGCAGGTGGTGGTGCCGCAGGTGATGAGGAAAGCAGTCATGGAGTTGCTTCATGCCTCAGTAATGGATAGATACACAGTAAGTTTGTTTGGTCAGGAGTGTCGTCAGATGTGACACGGTATTATTGGTCATGTGACCAGTGCCAAAGGACAGTAGATAAGGGTAGAGTTCCCTGTGCAAAATTAGGCAGAATGCCGATTATAGACGAGTTGTTTCAGAGGGTGGCAGTAGAATTAGTTGGACCATTAGAATCGCGCGCTAGTGACGGATAACGGTACTCTGTATATTCGAACTTTTATAAGACTACGCCACGAGATATCCCGAGGCCGTAGAGCTCAAGTCTTGCGACACTGTGAGTGTGGCAGAGGCACTGCTTAATGTGCTCAGTAGGGTAGGGATTCCCAAAGAAATTTTATTTGATCGAGGAACACAGTTTACGTCATGCGATGTGTAATGGCTTACTTGAAAGGTTTAATGGGGTACTAAAGATGCTTAAGCGCATGTGTCATGAGCAACCTAAAGAGTGGCCTGTGTATTTAAATCTCCTTTTGTTTGCTTATAGATAGGTACCCCAATCTAGTACCACATTTTCTCCCTTCGAGTTGATTTATGGTCACTCTGTACGTGGACCATTCAGTCTGTTAAGGAACTTGTGGGAGGAAATGAGGAAGATCAAGAAAACTCTAGGTCAGTGTATGATTACCAGATTAATCTGAGAGAGAAAACAAGATGCATGTAAGGTAGCTCATGAAGAGTTAGCGAGAGCAGGTGACAATTATCAAATGTATTATGATCGCAAAGCCAAGGATAGACAGCTTACAGTCGGTTAGAAAGCTTTGATCCTACTGCCAACCAGTAACAATAAGCTCCTAATGCAGTGCAAGGGCCTTTTGATGCAGTTAGGAGAGTTAACAAGTGGAATTATGTGGAACTTTTTCAAGCCTACAGGTGCACCATATATCCTACAGTTACAATACAGTACTCATATATTTAACCTTCTCTTAAATTTCAGATGTAATATTATCTCTGCCTGTCTACCACATTCTATTAAAAGCTACAAGGGGTGAACAGAAGCACCACCGGGACTCTCAAGATACTAAATTCCTTTCATCTGCTCACGGCTCTAATGAACCCTTAAACAGCAGTCATCATTGGTGGAAGTTTCATGTTAATCTGCTTTCCATTTTTGCAAATATGGGGGGAGGTCCTTAGCCACGGATTAAGGATTAAGATAACTCACTTTGGTTGTGAGATGCCTAACATGATCAAAGGAAGTAATAGCAGAAAAGTATAAAACTGCAACATATCACCCACCTTTTTTCCCAGTTGCTAGGAGCTCTTGCATGATGGCCTTGCTTATGTCATCATCCAGACATAACTTCTCTCTACGAAGATCTTCTTTGCCTAGAGAACGTGCTAAGTCTTCTAGATTTCTCTGTACTGGACTCACAATGGCAACAATGTTGTTCTTTGATGGGTCAGCATACACACAAATATTCTCTACATATGGACTGACTTTAAGTTCTGATTCCACTTTGCCAAGAGAAACATACTCGCCAAACTGAAGTTTCACGAGGTCCTTTTTGCGATCTATGGACAGTAAAATTTTTTTAAAAATTCCCATTTTTTCACATTAACAATAATGAATATCCACATCATTGTCTTCTTATTTAAAAGCTAAATTACATGGTTACAACAATAGATAATCAATGCAAAGAAAAACAGTACAAAGCTGGTACAGTGCATTGTTCCTATAACTGCCTCCTGGGTCACTGGTCCACTGTAAATATATCGATTGTACTGTATTCCCCTGAGGAAACACTTACCTATAATCTGAAGAGATCCATCTTCAAGAAATTCACCAATGTCTCCAGTACGGAACCACCGGCAGCCATCTTCATCATAGAAATCTTCCTGTGTTTTCTTAGGGTTCTTATAGTAACCCATAGTGATATTTGCTCCACCTGGTAGAAAAAAAAAAAATAAATAAATAAATAAATAAATAAATAAATATATATATATATATATATATATATATATATATATATATATATATATATATATATATATATATATATATATATATATATATAAATAAATAAATAAATAAATAAATAAAATAAATAAATAAATATATATATATATATATATATATATATATATATATATATATATATATATATATATATATATATATATATATATGTATATATATATATATATATATATATATATATATATATATATATATATATATATATATATATATATATATATATATATATATATATATATATATATATATATATATATATATATATATATATATATATATATATATATATATATATATATATATATATATATATAAGTTCTGCTATAACGCGTGTTTTGATAACGCGAATTTGCTCTAACACGATTTGTGAATTAGGAACGATATTTGTATAACGCGAACGCTTGTTTGCTATAACGCGATTTTTGCTTACTATTTCTCCAATTTTGTGGTACAGTGGGGTATGCTATAACGAATCTAATTGGTTCTAGAACCTTGTTCGTTATAGCATTCATTCGTTATAGGATTAATCCGTTCCAGGCCCCCAAATACAACCACTTAACACTGAAAAATATAATATAAAATTGTAAAAATTGTAAAAAAGTGCATAAATATGCATCTAAACCCCTGAAATAAAGAGTATCATTAATACTTGTAATAAAAAACAATAAATTAGAAAAAAAAAAAATTAAATAATGTTCGTTGTAGGAGTTTCGTTCGTTATAGCATTCTCAATTTTATAGGTAAAACCGTTCGTTATAGGAATATTCGTAGTAGGATCCATTCGTTATAGCATACCCCACTGTATTAACTGTGAATATAGTAAAGAAGAATATCAACAAGAAGCGTTCTGGTGATAGAATTCCCGGTGATGATCGTAAAAGAAAGGATATAACACTTGAAGAGAAGCTCGGTGTTATCAACCTCAAAATCACCCTTCTCCCTCATCAAGTTATATTCATATTTTTTCAAGGTAAAGTGTTACATTTACTGTATGATTTCATTATTAGATATGAATGTAACATTTATTTAGACTGTGCTATCCTTTGTGTTAAGCTAACTACTAAATTTTTTTCGATTTCGAGTAGTAATCTGCACCTAACCCTATTTTCTCCATAAGCCCTGCTATTTCTATTACGCGATTTTCTATAACACGATATTTTACAAGAACACAATTATCGCGTTATAGCAGAACTACCTGTATATATATATATATATATATATATATATATATATATATATATATATATATATATATATATATATATATATATATATATATATATATATATATATATATATATATATATATATATATATATATATATATATGCGGTTTAAGCTTAAGCGCGCGATTTCACGATATCTGTGATTGCCTTCGCCAGAGCTGAACTTTCACTTAACGCGGGTTTTTTCCACATATACGCGCAGAGTGTCCGGCTCGAGAGCTATTTTTAGATTCGCCCCACCCCCCACCGCCACCCTGCCTGACTGCCTGCCTGCCTGTTTTAGCTCATAAAATTCATACAAATTACCCGGCCAGAATATAATTTACATTGCTGGAATTCTTACAATATGATGATCATTTTGAATATAAACATCATAGATTTTGCATTAGACATACAAATTTTAGATATAATGTTTACTCTGAGTAAATATGTTATTTTTTGTGCAAAATATATGACATTTGTATTCAAAATATTCCTGGTCTTACAAGGAATCCAGCAATGTCAATTATATTATTCTAACTTTAGTTTGAGGTATTATTTATTACTAAAAAGGTAAATATTCTGGTTTTCCCACACATCTGGTAGGGAGGGTTGGTGGGGGGTGGGGGGGAGGGAGGGACCGACCGACCATCTGTTACCGTGTGAAGAATATTTTTTTTTTTTATTAACTGAAGATATTTGTTTTAGCTCATAAAATTCATACAAATTACCCGGTCAGAATATAATTTACATTGCTGGAATTCTTATAATTTGATGATCATTTTGAATATAAACATCATAGATTTTGCATTAGACATACAAATTTTAGATGTAATGTTTACTCTGAGTAAATATGTTATCTTTTGTGCAAAATATATGACATTTATATTCAAAATATTCCTGGTCTTACAAGGAATCCAGCAATGTCAATTATATTATCCTAACTTTAATCTGAGGTATTATTTAATACTAAATGTTAAAATTTAGTTTTTTCACCCAACATCTCTTGAAGGGAGGATTGGTGGGGGGTGGGGGGGAGGGTTGGGACTGACCGTGCGGTTGGAAGAGGGGGGGAGGCAAGTTGGGGTACTTTGATCGACAGATAGTGTCGTGAAGAATATATTTTTTTTATATTAACTGAAGATGTTTGTTTTAGCTCATAAATTCATACAAATTACCCGGCCAGAATATAATTTACATTGCTGGAATTCTTACAATTTGGTGATCATTTTGAATATAAACATCATAGATTTTGCATTAGACATACAAATTTTAGATATAATGTTTACTCTGAGTAAATATGTTATTTTTTGTGCAAAATATATGACATCTGTATTCAAAATATTCCTGGTCCTACAAGGAATCCAGCTATGTCAATTGAATTATCCTAACTTTAGTGTGAGGTATTATTTATTAAAATTTAGTGGTTTTCCCCCAAAAATTTCTCAGAGAGGGAAGAGCCAGCAGTGTAGTGTGAGAAGAGGGGGAGGGAGTTGAGTCCATTATTTGAATGGACATTAACTTGGCGACTGTATTTCTCTATTTCTCTTAAGTATTAATTGTGTGCATGTACCATCATAAAATTAAGATGTTATTTTTACTAGAACATAGGTATTGTGTCGGAAAAAGTGGAGTTTGGGGGTCGGGCCAGTTTCTATTGGAATTAATCCCATATGTTCTGTTGTTCACTTAGCGCGGTTTTCACTTAACACGGTACCCTGTGGGTTTTATTGACCGCGTTAAGCAGGGTACTACTGTATATATGTATATGTATATATATATATATATATATATATATATATATATATATATATATATATATATATATATATATATATATATATATATATATATATATATATATATATATATATATATATACATACATACATATATGTAATATTCAGAAATTTCAGTGTAATTTCAAAAGCCGCGCCATTGGCGATGCTGAGTTCAAGGTCGTCTGAGGGAAGACCGCGCTCCCGCACGTAGCGAGAGTTTGTGGAACTAGGCCTATACGATATTAAATGTAATTTACCGAGTTAATAGGGACGTGAATCATGAAATTAAATATCAGTTATTAAATTGAAAATAATTATAGATCGTTTCCCAGTCTGAAAATGTTGCGTACGTCCTAATTAAGCTGTTAATCGTCTGGTAAATAAGTCACTCCTGGAAAGCGTGAACCAGTGAGCAAGCGTGGCTGGGGAGCGGTGAGAGAGGTCAAGGACCACCTCTGTGCTGTACCCAGGAGAGACGGATCGCGTGACCTGGTTCCTTCGTTTATTTAACATCAGTATTAACAAGTAAGTTTTATTCAATCTCAGACAAAGCTTGATAGGGCGGTAGGAACAAACGGTGATGTGAGACAATAGCTAACAGCCCGGGTTTTTCAGGGTTCTGTAGACTCATCGCGGTATGATAACATCCACTGGCGGTATGAGACACGAGTGGTGAAGCGAGCTGTATGACCATCCACTGACCTGGGTTTGAGCCACCTGTTGAGTATGGTGAGAGTTGGAGTGAACCCAGCTGTCTAGGTGCCCAACTAACGACGTGACGATCGTTTGGGGTCATCAACTCTCCTCTACCTCGGCTCACAATACCACATATCTTCAAGCAGCTTAGTGAAAACCTTTTACTACCGGGAAGCTAAAGCTTCTCTCAACTGTACAAGGTCTGAGTGGCTCACTCCCTTCCGTTTCATGGATGTACTGGGGGTAAAGTGAAGCCAGCTGAGTGATACAGGGTCACACACTGGGACCAAGAGTCCAGTGGACCTTAGAGGTACATTTCCAAGGTTGAGAAAGGCTGGTTTGGGCCTTAAACTACGGGTGCCTGTTGGTTGTGCCTTAAAAAACTACGAAGTGCAGGTGGAACCTATGTGTTAGGTCAGGAAGCATGGTTCACGGGTATTGGTGGACTCAGTAACTTCCTAATAATAGTGATAATATTTTTGTGTGTACTTAATACTATTTTTTCAGTTACTAATGTATGCTGTGTGCATTTAATATTTTCTTATAATTCCTATCTCAGGTATAACCTTTGTTCCCCAGAGTAGTGTTTAAGTTAGGTTAGGAAGTGTGCATCTGTTGGGGTGATATAATTTTGTTGAGTGCCCTTAAGGCCTATTCATTATAGTTATTAATTTCTATTTTTTTACCATTTTCTCAGTGGTTCATATTATTTTGTTGAGTGCCCTTAAGGCCTATTCATTGTCGAGTTATTAATTTCTATTTTTTTATACCATTTTCTCAGTGGTTGATATTATTTTGTTGAAAGACCTTAAGGCCTGTTTCATGTGTACAAGCAACATTCCTTAATACTTTAAACTTATTGTCCTCTAATGAGGCATTGCCTGAGTTTCTAATAATTTCAACATCATGTAAAACTTTTATTCCCCAGAGTAGTATTTTAAGTTCAGGTTAAGGGTGCGCATATTGGTGTACCATTATTTGATTGTGTTTGTAGTGTTGGAGGGAATATAAGAGTAAATTTTACAGTGTGTCTCATTCATCCCAGTCACAGACGCTGTCCTTCCACGGCTCACGGACAATTCATTTTGTTTAGTAAATTTAAGTGTTCTTGTGCTGGTTCGGGATTTCTCTCAAAGGGGCACTTCCACAGCAATTACCATCTAATAATCTTTAATAAACCCCAAGTCAAGTGAGAAATTAAAGTCCAGTAATTCCGACCAGTTATA